GTAACTAAAACTAAAAGGGATGTATGTGCTAAATTGGGTTGCTTCTAAAAAATAAATGACTGTAGTGGAGCCGGGGAACTCAACATAATCAAATAACTATTATGTGCTTAATAGGCCCTATCATACTCAATTCTGAACTTTTGATCTTTGGCCCAGGATAGATTCAAACACTGCTTTTTCATCTATCACTAAAGTAATCATGATCTTGCTTCTCTATTCTCTGAAGTTCCGGTCTGAAAGCTGAACTGTATTAGTTTCTTTTAACAGCAAACATAGTTATAAAAATGTCTCGTTTATCTTCACAAATTGACGGTTGGTCAATTAGTCATTTGGTCTTTGGAGGGGAATGAGGGTTATAGATGATAGCAGTGATGGTTCCTCCATTTAGGTTTCCCAAGCAATTCTTAGATAGAGACACAGAAAATATATCACAAGGTCAGTAGTAGTTTGCAACTTAGTTTATTCTTTTTGTTTAGCTAAGATAAACTATACATAGGTGGAAATAATGGCTCAAATGATTCAGTTGAATGAAATTTCAATAGAAGGGTGCTATTCCCTCAGCCAGAAAAAAACATACAAGCTGCATGATGCAATTTTGCTATGAAAAGGGAACTTTTGGACTTAAGGGTCCGTATTAGATCCTTGATCTACATTTGTGGTTTAAGGAGCAACTAAGCCCACCTGAAAAGAGAGAGTTTCAGAGGACCTATCTTGTATATCAGGAGAGAGATCAGTTTCCAATTATGAGCTTATAGATGGTAAAGTAAAGCTCAAACATGAAGAAACACAATTCATGTTGCAAAGCAACCATTTGCTTACTCTTTCCTAATTTCTGAGTTCTTCAGGCTTTTCAAGACAATATGACAATTTTTGTAAGCAATTCTGTAAAAACTTTTGCCTTTTATCTTGAGAGGAAGTTTAAGTGAGCTTGCTTTACTTTGCATTATAATGAATTAGGTGACCTTGTTTTCTGGACAAAAGCAGGTTTATCCTGAAGTGTGGCTAAGTAAGTAAATATGCCACACAGCACATTTGAATGCAAAAATCTAAGTTTCAACCTCTACTGTACTTCATATCACTTGGGCAACAGTTCTTCATCTCAGATGTACAATATTTCTTTAGATTGTAAACCTTAACAATGAAGACTTCCCCTGAAAATCCCTAACTTTTTAATCATTTCAACCGGCTTTTGGTGGTAGGGAGCATTTTATAATAAAAGCAGCTAAGAAAAGGTCCTGTTCCTTCTTTGGGTCTCATTTGTGTTCATAAGAAACATGCTGCACTTGAACCATGAAATGATATTTCACCATATACACTCTGAAGGTGATGCTCACCGAAGTTCTAGAGTTAGGGTAACATATGTCTGAGTGAGAAGAGTTTTCCCAGTAAATGTGTATGACTTGTATGGTTTGTTTTTCCTCCCATGTTTATTGAATTAGTGGAAGTACAAAATAAACTTTCCAGTAAAATTGCAGCCTTCTTGCAGCCTGACAACTTAATTGCTCAGCTGGGAAGCTGTGATAATCCTCGGTATGATATTTGTGATAATTTTAAGGTTAGTTACAGACATTTATCCAAGAATGAAAATTTTAATGAAGTAAACAAAACATTGGGCTGGATCCAACTTTCACTGGACTTAGCAAAAATTATTTCTGACATTACCATTGTCTTCAGTCTGTAGCATCCAGGCATTGTTACTGTAGCTGCTTTTTCTTTCTTTTTAATATTTGATTGAATACCTTTGGATATCTATAAATTTCAACTTTTTATTGAAAGGAATAGAATATTGGTAACTAAAATGTTACTTTCATATGGCTTTAACTCTAAATGAATTGAAGTTCATTATACATGTAGAATGGGAAATGACTCCTGGTTCATTTTGAAAAAATGCTTTGGCAAATTCAGCTTAAATACATTAATCATTTTGGTTGACATGAATATTCCTTTTTTTGTTAAATGAAGGATTGTTTGGGAAAGGATTGTTCTCTGTTGAAGGTTCACTGCTGACTCAGCTGTGATGTTTTGACAGTCATGTTGTCACTCATTTTTACTAAGGTTCCTGACAAAAAGAACAACATCTTACAATTATGTAAGATGTAAGGGAAATTATAATGCTGCAGCATTATTCTGTGGTTTTGTGAATGAAACTTTTCTTCTGATGCTTGATTTAGAAATTGAAATAACGTTGAATTGAATAAGTGAGAATGCTGGGGAGAAAAATCACCCTGAGTAATCTAATGCATTCAGGGGCTGTATTTTAAGTAACCTCCTCCACGTTCACCCTGTAGAACTTCTTATTCTCTATGTATTTGTGCAAAGCCCTGTAATTTGTGCTAGAGAAATAATTATATTAGGCCTCATCTCTATTTAACCATGTAGTCCCTCTTAGATGGATACTGTGCGTGTGGTGCTCTTCTGAGTGCTCCGCAAGTACAGCTCACTGTGTGCTAGGACCTTCCGAGGCTGCTTCTCCCCTAGATGTTTCCTGCATATCTACCCCACAACCCTTTTCTTTTTGGGGAACTGCAATGATGGTATGTAGAAATTATTGCCTTCGACAGAAACGTATTTCAAGATGTAGCGATGAGAATTGAGAAGTAGTATAATTAAGTAGGTGAGAACAGAGCCCCTCTGGGTTGGCGTGCATTTTTTCTGCTTTGCCACCAGTGTCTCTGCAGTTTTCTCATAATTCCACATGCACGGTGTCAAAAGGCTTCCATATGTCCATATCCTCAGGTGTGGAAAAGATGCGAGGCCTTTTTAATAAAAATACTGATTGCAGAAGTATCATGTCTATGCGTAACAGAGGGGCAAGTACAACTCTATACCATTTTCAGCCTCCACAGCACAAGCAATACCCATTATTCTGTCCCATGAATGTTGGCAGGGGGGGACAGGGACTGGCAAGGGAGGATCCATTTGTTTGTGTTTATATTCAGTTATGAGCAGCTAGTTGTCATCAGTGGAAGGCGTTTAGACTTTGAAGCATGCAATACTGTTGTTTAGGAGAAATACTGTGTTAATTACAGACCTGTTGTGTGTGTGGTTCTGTGAGTTTTTTTAAGAGGAGTGAATTTTTCATGACCTCTTCTGGATTCTGTGCTTATATTACTGTCAGAATTCAAGTTATTGTTCTAATTCATGGAAGCAGCCATAGTTCTTAGGCACTTCATAATTGTGTCATGCTGAAGGCTGCCGAGCTGCTTTCGTTATCCTCCTTGTCATTGATGACTGCATCTTTACTGAGCCAACTTCAGCTCCAGTGGTTAATGTGTGTTTTCAAGGTTTATGACTTTGTCAAAGGATTATGTTAAAAGTATTACACAGCTTAATATAAGTACCATTTCTAGTCTACCTTAAACAAACAAACAAAAAAGCCACACAACAGTCCAAATGTAACAGACTAAGGCCTGAACAGAGATTTTAATGTTTGAGCCGCACTCTTTTTTTCCAGAAAAGCAGATGTAGAACCTATTTGTCTGACAGTAGGGTTGGGATAACGTTGGGATTTCATGCCCATCCTTTCTGACAACATTTAGAAAAAGTGTGGCTTTGTTTTCCTTGACTTCGTCTAAATGATCGTATTCAAGTCAAAACTGCTCATGCTAAATTATGTGGTAAATATAAATAATTGTAAGGAAGAGTTGAAAAAGGACTGTTTCAAAGAAGCTTGGTTTTGTTTGTGTCTGGGTGGTGGTTTTTTTGTTTTTTTTTGGTTTTTTTTTTTTGGGTGAGAGTCTTTCTATGCAGCTACTTAGGACCTGGAGATGGCTGAGAAGGTAGAATATAATAATAGTTTATGTCTTCATAACTATAATGGATTTTCAGTGGGTTTCAAATAGCCTCTTTTATATATTGATAATTTTTTGTCTATATTTTGTCAAAATATCCCTCTTTTCACCTACTCTTTTTCGACTTAGGTTTTGCATTATCTAGCCTTGTTTTTACAAAGTTTCCTTTGGATTTCCGCTAGTAGGAGATATCCTATGTGTGCTCTTAGATGTCCTGTTTTTAGTTTCTTTTTACTTTTGTACTTAACTGCTTTCAAGCATAGATAGTAATTCACATTCAAAATCCAACCTTTGCTCAACTTGAAGTGTTCATTATGCTTGGAAGACTGTTGGCTGGAGCGACCTCACTGCTCTGTCAGGTACTCCAAACCCGTAGCCCTGACCTTTATTTCAAATAACCCCAGAAATTTCTTCTTATATTAAAAATTTTAACCGTAATCTGTGTAAGATTTTGTTGCAATTTCTAAGATGCCATGTAAATCTGAATAGAGTCATTCTGAAAATTTGGACTGGAATTATTTTGGATATTGTATGCAGGGTATCAACAGATATTGTTAGAGGTGGTGTGAAGGAAGAAAAGAAAAAGATTTCTACAGTGATAAGTGACCTTATCCCAAGCAGCGTCTCTGTGTTAAACCTATTTTTTGCCTTCTGCTTGCCTAGAAGGTGATGCCCAACTAGACTCATTGTGAAATCAGACTGTTTTTCAGCTCAGTACTATAGATCATAATTCCTAAGCATCTACATTAATTTTCCACTACATTGTATGTATGTTATGGTGGTCTAAGTCGTTTGTGTTTCTTCTGCTATGTGCATTAATTAGTCACTGGAATTTCAGTGAAATTAGGCTAAATAAAGGGTCACTGGGCATGCATCCATTAATGCCTTGTGTATCACAAATGCTCATGTGGCTTTGATTTGGGTTATTGTGGAGCATTAGCAGAAGTCCAAGAGTTACAGGCAGCTGTTCATATAAGAAAAAAAGGACATAGAGTGGTGGGTTGTACTGCATGCGCCTTGCTTAGAAATGGAAAATTAAATTTCATCTCCCACTCCTGCACTAAAACTAAATAAAGGCCTAATACTGCATTCTTGCATGTATTTAGCATTACTATAATGAGGAGCCTTATACCTGTGCTAAGCTTGTAAATATAGATACATATATAAAATGTTTTACAGGCTATGACCAAAGTTTCCAAGTCACATCTG